ATGGACTTACCAAAATGTCTGGAGATTTTGGATCAGAATATTCAAAATATTAGCAAATCCCCCTCTAAAGCATTACTTAACTGTTGGGGATGTGCCCAGACACTCCTGAAGACTAATAGCTTTCATGTATATGGGAGATTTTTATTAAACTGGAGCACTTAGAATCTGGTGTATCTGTGTATGGTAGCCAATCAGTTCTATCTGCAGCTTGTTCAATTAAGCTTTGACAATAAAACATGGAAGCTGATTGGATACCAGGCACAGCTGCACCAGATTTTGCACTCTCCAGTTTTAGTAAATCCCCCCTATGTGAACCCTTACCTTGTATAACAGCCAATTCAGTTTAAAATAGAAATGAAATGTAACATTTGTATATTGTGGCAGTGCGGTATCCTGCCACGGTGGAAATCACGATGGAGACCCAGGATTCTCAACCATACAGGTTGAGGGGCTCCAGGCAGTTCTCATAATACAGAGGAAACTGGTTTATCAGTTTCCTCTTTGGTTTGTAAAGCCTGTTTTGGGACCTGTAGCCTGGAGATTTCTAAGAGATTTGGGAGGAATGAAATCTCCAATCCTGGGCCCATATATTGAGAGCAGCCAGTGCGCTGATTGCACAGGTGTGTGCAGGCCTTTTTGTGGAGGCCAGGCCATGATTCTGGGCTCCACCCCGGCAGATAGGAGTCAGGAGGGCTCCACCCCGGCAGATAGGAGTCAGGAGGGCTCCGCCTGGAAGACAGGAGGGCTCCACCTAGGAGAGGTGGAAGCCATAAGCAGCAAGGGGCTACTAGAGACTAGCTATGTGCTAGTGGCCAGCTGTGTGCGAGAGCCAATGTTTTTGAAAGAGTCTGCATTGAGACAGACGTAAGCCTGAAGGGGAAGGCCAGTGGAAAATTGTGTATATCTGAGAGAGCCAGGAGGCTGAATTTTGTTTATGTGGATGATAGATACCCCTGTGTGGGAAACTTCTGATGTTTTGAACTTTCATTTAAATAAAAGTGGGCTAAAAAGGCCTTAAAAAAGAAAGCGAGTTGCTGTGTGCATTTAACCAAGCTCTACCATTTGAAGCGAGTTCTCACAATATATATTCATATATGGATACCTTTGGCAAGGTCTAGACTCCAATATATAGTATTTATCTGTAACCTGGATGAATGAGTAGACAAACAAGCCTCTCGAATGGAGTCAAAGTCCCACCGCCATCATACCCTTCCCCTTAACCCAACCCTACGATGTTTAGTTTCTTTTCCTTTGTGTTTTCTTCACCCTTTACATTCTCATGATCTATGACTAAAGTGGTATACTGTATGTCTGTTTTTTTCCATGGAAAGGCAAAGTTGTCTGGCCTTTGAAGCCGATTCACCCTTAGTCTCTTGTGCTCAAGATGCACATCCATGGAAAGATATACAATGAGCTGTACCGTATCTCGCCTGTATGAGCAATATGTTTGTTACTTGACAAAGCTGGTATTGGACAATATAACCACTACAAGACATTTACATACAAAGTCATATGTTTTCTCTGCCTTGTATTTGTAAACCCTAATAAACCTTACTGAGACTGAAAACTAATTTTCAGCAGCTTCTCTTACCGGGGCCACTCAAGCCGAAAATCACAGATATCAAAAATACCCTGGGCTGCCCATGCAAGTGCCAATAAATAGGTCGTATAACATATTACAACAGCAAACAGTTAACAATTGCACCTTTGCAAGCCGTTGCATTTCTCAAATTTACAATTATGGCTGCACATAGGATTTTTAAATGACATACATTAAAGGGACACAAGCCTTTTATGACCTCACTTAACGGTTTGGTCATACAGTGGGGCAAACAAGTATTTAGTCCCCACCAATGGTACAAGTTCTCCCACTTACAAAGATGAGAGAGGCCTGTAATTGGCATCATAGGTAGACCTCAACTATGAGACACAAAATGAGAAAACAAATCCAGACAATCACATTGTCTGGATTTGTTTTCTCATTTTGTGTTCTCATATTATGGTGGAAAATAAGTATTTGGTCCCCTACAAACAAGCAAGATTTCTGGCCTCACAGACCTGTACCTTCTTCTTTAAGAGGCTCCTCTGTCCTGCACTCATTACCTGTATCAATGGCACCTGTTTGAACTTGTTATCAGTATAAAAGACACCTGTCCACAACCTCAAACAGTCACACTCCAAACTCCACTATGGTGAAGACCAAAGAGCTGTCGAAGGACACCAGAAACAAAATTGTAGACCTGCACCAGGCTGGGAAGACTGAATCTGCAATAGGCAAGCAGCTTGGTGTGAACAAATCAACTGTGGGAGCAATAATTAGAAAATGGAAGACATACAAGACCACTGATAATCTCCCTCGATCTGGGGCTCCACGCAAGATCTCACCCCGTGGGGTCAAAATGATCACAAGAACGGTGAGCAAAAATCCCAGGACCACACGGGGGGACCTAGTGAATGACCCGCAGAGAGCTGGGACCGACGTAACAAATTCTACCATCAGTAACACACTACGCCGCCAGGGACTCAGATCCTGCAGTGCCAGACGTGTCCCCCTGCCTAAGCCAGTACATGTCCGGGGCCCGTCTGAAGTTTGCTAGAGAGCATTTGGATGATCTAGAAGAGGATTGGGAGAATGTCATATGGTCAGATGAAACCAAAATAGAACTGTTTGGTAGAAACACAACTCGTCGTGTTTGGAGGAGAGAGAATGCTGAGTTGCATCCAAAGAACACCATACCTACTGTGAAGCATGGGGGTGGCAACATCATGCTTTGGGGATGTTTCTTTGCAAAGGGACCAGGACGACTGATCCATGTACAGGACAGAATGAATGGGGCCATGTATCGTGAGATTTTGAGTGCAAACCTCCTTCCATCAGCAAGGGCATTGAAGATGAAACGTGGCTGAGTCTTCCAACATGACAATGATCCCAAACATACCGCCCGGGCAACGAAGGAGTGGCTTCGTAAGAAGCATTTCAAGGTCCTGGAGTGGCCTAGCCAGTCTCTAGATCTCAACCCCATAGAAAACCTTTGGAGGGAGTTGAAAGTCCGTGTTGCCCAGCAACAGCCCCAAAACATCACTGCTCTAGAGGAGATCTGCAGCATGGAGGATGAGCCAACATACCAGCAACAGTGTGTGCCAACCTTGTGAAGACTTCCAGGAAACGTCTGACCTCTGTCATTGCCAACAAAGGATATATAACAAAGTATTGACATGAACTTTTCATATTCACCAAATACTTATTTTCCACCATAATTTGCAAATAAATTCTTTCCAGATCAGCCAATGAGATTGTCTGGATTTGTTTTCTCATTTTGTCTCTCATAGTTGAGGTCTCCCTATGATGCCAATTACAGGCCTCTCTCATCTTTGTAAGTGGGAGAACTTGTACAATTGGTGGCTGACTAAATACTTTTTTGCCCCACTGTATATGCCAGGTGAGAGCACAGAAGGTGTACACTATTTTTATGATTGGTGGATTGCACACAAATAATTTTGTATCACATCACTATAAGGAATGTCAAAATCCCGGATTAATTAAGGACATTTACGCAGCAGAAGCCCGATTGCACTGTCACTTTTAATTTGTTGCTGGACTGTATTATTTATTTCATTAAAACAATTTGATATAATTTCTTATTGCAATTGTTAGTGGAGAGCGACTCTATTTTTGATCTTTCTGTTCACTATGACACATTGGTATGAGTATGTGTAGAGTGTATGCGAGCCGCTTATTTTAATATCATTCAGCATTTTATTGCTTTAAATTTATTTTGTATTAATATTGTTCACAACATTGATTGATTGATTTGTTTACACCATAGTAGCTCACAAGACCCCATGTTTTAATATTAAATTACATGCACCTTTTTATTTTACAAGCTCACCTTAATTTACTATGCAGACCACAGTGACAGGGTCTCTTTATGGGTAAAGCTCAGGTTCACTCTAATTGTCAATTGCCAGTAATCTCCCCAGTGGAAACAGATGCAATAGCAGAAAGCATTACAGATTTAATAGGTCAGAGGGCTTACATTTTGAGGCTGACAAGTGGTGTACAGTACATAGGCAGTATTTTCACATATGCATTGTGCCAGCTCCGTCCATAACCGAGATCAAAAGATTACAAATCATATAAATAACACCAGCTCACTCTGCACTGCAGCTATAAATAATGTGGCGGCTCTACAGGCACACGCACAATACATACACACGCACAATACATACACACGCACATACTACTACTGCAATCATGTAACTATAACCCTGAAATACCTTTATAGGAGCTCCTGATCTAGATGGAAACGTTTGTATACCTGTATATAAGTGACGTCATATTTCAAGAACAGCTAATTTGTCAATGGCATAAATCACTTTAGGCTAAGGCAGTGTTTCTCAACTCCAGTCCTCATGGACCCCCAACAGGTCATGTTTTCAGGATTTCCCTCAGATGAAACAGCTGTGGTAATTACTAAGGCAGTGAAACTGATCAAATCACCTGTGCAAAATAATGGAAATCCTGAAAACATGACCTGTTGGGGGTCCATGAGGACTGGAGTTGAGAAACACTGGGCTAAGGCGTGGCTCCAAGCGTGTGAGTTATTTTATTACTAGGCAGTCAAGCTTGCTGAAGGACGATTGCTTCATTCAGGGTCAGATCTTCATTTCAAATGTTGATACTGAAGCACCGCAGCATACCAACACTCACAGTGCTTCTCAAAAATCACAAACATTTTTACAACTTACTTACTGAGGGGATCCCCAGGTTCTGAACAAGTTATAACGCAGAGAAAATTATGTTTGCTAAAAGAACACCATTGAACCAGCACTGGTGCCACGTCTCTGCAGGAGCTTGTCTTGGCAAAGGTATGTACTCATGGGCATTTGTCACTGTGCTCAGGGCTGCTGGAGTACTTTCGTTCTTAAAGTATTACTAAACCCAAGACCCTGCATTCACTATATCTGCTCTCCCCGGACCCCGCATTCACTATATCCGCTCTCCCCGGACCCTGCATTCACTATATCTGCTCTCCCCGGACCCCGCATTCACTATATCTCCTCTCCCCGGACCCCGCATTCACTGTATCCGCTCTCCCCCGGACCCTGCATTCACTATATCCGCTCTCCCCGGACCCCACATTCACTATATCTGGTCTCCCCGGACCCCGCATTCAATATATCCGCTCTCCCCGGACCCCGCATTCACTATACCCGCTCTCCCCGAACCCCGCATTCACTATATCCGCTCTCCCCGGACCCCGCATTCACTGTATCCGCTCTCCCCCCGGACCCCGCATTCACTATATCCGCTCTCCTCGGACCCCGCATTCACTGTATCCGCTCTCCCCGGACCCCGCATTCACTGTATCCGCTCTCCTCGGACCCCGCATTCACTGTATCCGCTCTCCCCGGACCCCGCATTCACTATATCCGCTCTCCCCGAACCCCGCATTCACTATATCCGCTCTCCCCGGACCCCGCATTCACTATATCCGCTCTCCCCGAACCCCGCATTCACTATATCCGCTCTCCCCGGACCCCGCATTCACTATATCCGCTCTCCCCGGACCCCGCATTCACTATATCCGCTCTCCCCGGACTCCGCATTCACTATATCCGCTCTCCCTGGACCCCGCATTCACTTTTCCTCAAAATTGTCAATCTTTTTTTGTTTATAGCGCAAAAAAAATAAAAACCGCACAGGTGATCAAATACCACCAAAAGAGAGCTCAATTTGTGGGAAAAATGGATGTAAATTTAATTTGGGTGCAGCGTTGCATGACTACGCAATTGTCAGTTAAAGTAACGCAGCGCCGTATCGCAAAAAATGGCCTGGTCAGGAAGGGGGGTAAAGCCTCTGGAGGGCAAGTGATTATGAGGTTTCCGCCTGGCCTATAGCCAGATGGCGGTTGGCAAAACACCTCGTCCCTCCGGGTGGACGTCATATGGCGTCCTTTCAGGAATGCGCAGTTTGCCTGTCCGCAGAGCTGCTCAGCGGCGTGATCTGTCACTGGCCGTGTACCTCGGACACAGTCGATGACATATCTGTGTACCGGCCCCATTGCCAGTACCATGTGACCTGCTGTGACCAATCACAGCAGGTCACATGACAGTTGTATACAATGGATGGCTTCCTTTCATGCCATCCATTGTATACAAGTGTGTCTAGCTGTGAATGGTCACAGCGATCACATGCACAAGCTGGGCCAATCACAGCCCATTTGTGTCATGTGATTAGCTGTGGCCTAATCACAGTTAAGAAAAAAAAAAAAATCCTGAATGAATCGATTTCATTCAGGTACATGCTTGCTTATAGCAAATTGTGTAAAAAAAAATACTGATCACTTCCCCAAAGTAGTACAATGTTACTATGGTAACATTATACTACTTTGGTCATAGTGAAATGTGAAAAAAAATCTTAAAAGAAGAGAAACAAATTTAATAAAAAAAAAAAAAAAAAATTATCATTTGTTTTTTTTTCATACTGTCACCAGTCAGTGTCCCTGATCACCGCCATGCCAGTTATATGATGAAGCTGTACTGCACTGGTGACAGTATGTAAAAAAAAAATAGTAAAAATCATTTTTTTTAATTCTTCATTTTCCAAAAAATCATGACAAAAAAATTACAACTTCAAAAAACTCGCCATGCCTCTTATGAAATACGTCGGACTGTCTACTCTGCAAAAAGGGGTAATTTGGGGATTAGTGTACTGTCCTGACATTTGGGGGATATCTGTACCGTCCTGACATTTGGGGGATATCTGTACTGTTCTGACATTTGGGGGATATCTGTACTGTCCTGACATTTGGGGGATATCTGTACTGTCCTGACATTTGGGGGATATCTGTACCGTCCTGACATTTGGGGGATATCTGTACCGTCCTGACATTTGGGGGGATATCTGTACCGTCCTGACATTTGGGGGATATCTGTACTGTCCTGACATTTGGGGGATATCTGTACCGTCCTGACATTTGGGGGATATCTGTACCGTCCTGACATTTGGGGGATATCTGTACCGTCCTGACATTTGGGGGATATCTGTACCGTCCTGACATTTGGGGGGTATCTGTACCGTCCTGACATTTGGGGGATATCTGTACTGTCCTAACATTTGGGGATATCTGTACTGTCCTGACATTTGGGGGATATCTGTACTGTCCTGACATTTGGGGGATATCTGTACTGTCCTGACATTTGGGGGATATCTGTACTGTCCTAACATTTGGGGGATATCTGTACTGTCCAGACATTTGGGGGGATGTCTGTACTGTCCTGACATTTGGGGGGTATCTGTACTGTCCTGACATTTGGGGGGTATCTGTCCTGTCCTGACATTTGGGGGATATCTGTACTGTTCTGATGTTCTTGGACCTCAAGAAATTAGATTGGCTGTCAGTACTTCAGGATTGATCAATATTCAGATCTATACCATAGTTTGTGAACTCTATAACTTTCCTACAAACTAAAAAATACATCCTAATTTGGGGTATTTTCACCAAAGACATGTAGCAGAATACATCTCGGGCCTAAACTTATGAAGAACAATTATTTATTTGCAAACTTTTATAACAGAAACAAAGAAAAACGTGTTTTTTTTTTTTTCAAAATTTTTGGTTTTTTTTTGTTAATTTAGCAAAAACTAAAAACCCCGGCGGTGATTAAACACCACTGAAAGAAAGCTCTAGTTGTGTGAAGAAAATGATAAAATTTTAGTTTGGGTACAATGTTGTATGACCGCGCAATTGTCATTCAAAGTGTGAGAGCGCTGAAACCTGAAAAATGGCCTGGGCAGGAGGGTGTAAACGTGCCCGGTATGGAAGTGGTTAATAAGGTTGAAAAAAGACAAAATTATGTCAATTTTATTACACAGGAAAAAACAATCCCAGCTGGACCATTTCCCAGATCAAAATGTTGCCCTAGCAGACTTTACTTTGGACATTATTCGTTGCAAAACATTGTTTAAATAGCACAGTTTTTCTTATTGCTACACCATGCGGTAAATCATTTTAAAGCTTAAGCACCCTTAGTTATAACAGTATATCCTATGTCCTTTTTTTATTGTGGTATCCATAAATGGGTCCCATATTTTAGGATGTGGCCTTATGAGAGATTTATACAGAAACAATACAATGTAAGTATTATTGTTTTTTATATTTGAGTTTTCATACATGACAAAGCTGTTCTATTGTAAACCTAAAGAAAACACAAGGGGGCGCCATCCTAGGGGCAATATATATTATGATGATACAAATCAAATTCATGAGTTAAGAATCATTTCCATTTACAAAAAAATATATATACATTTTCTACCAATTCTTTCTTTTTTAAGATAATAATCTTGTGTTATTTCCAGTTTTTTCGATTATACTCTTCTTGTTATTTTTACACATATCATTTTATTTGCACTGCCCACTAATAATGTTTTGGATATTAATTTAATGTCAATATATTTCAGCGATCGATACATTTCATTTATGATCCTCTATATTGGTATGTAACTATTTATTAACATACATATATAGAGATATTGAAGATTGTGATTGGTAAACACACTGTTTATATATACATGCTGCTCTTTTTATATTTACATGCTGCTCTTTTTATATATACATGCTGTCCTAGTATTTTGCTTTATAAATTGGACGCGCTTATTCCACCCCACCCATTCCACCTCCCATAAAAGAGTGACTGCCCAACCATCCTATCAGGTCTGAAAAAAAAGCGGAAACTTTGAAACGCGTCACTTGACTCATCACCTGACTTGTCCCTGCATCCCTATTGGTCGTCCTCCTAGTCCGGACTTTCGTGCATTCCACGCTGGTTATGGCGTCCCTCGCTGACAGTTCACATCCACATCCCACTCCCGGAACGCAGGCACAACCAGGGATCACCGGCCTTTGCACAGGCCCGTTTGGGGACACAATTTAATGCCTTCAAACCCATTTTACTTGAGTAGCAGTTTGGCTATATCCCAATAAACCTGTAATACATACTGCACTTAGGCTGGCGCCCCCTTATGTCTTCTTTATATTTCCACTGAGCCTGCTTCACTCTATGGGGAGCTGACACCACTTAGTGCATAATTATGGACTTTATGCACTTCTTTAATATATGTTTTTTTATACATGTTTTTAACCTTTTTCATTATAATATTGTGTTGCAGTGTAATTGTCTTCTCTCAGCGCCAATCACTTATATTGTTTTTTTCTATTGTAAACCTGGTAACTCGTTATAAAACACAAATTAATTGTTCTTTGCTCATGTATTTGAAGTATTATGCTATGGAAGACTGATTGCTGCCACCAACATATGCACATATACACTCACCGGCCACTTTATTAGGTACACCTGTTCAATTGCTCGGTAACACAAATTGATCATCAGCAAATCACATGGCAGCAACTCAATGCATTTAGGCATTTAGACGTGGTGAAGATGACTTGCTGAAGTTCAAACCGAGCATCAGAATGGGGAAGGAAGGGGATTTAAGTGACTTTGAACTTGGCATGGTTGTTGGTGCCAGACAGGCTGGTCTGAATATTTCTAAAAATTCTGATCTACTAGGATTTTCACACACAAGCATCTCTAGGGTTTACAGAGAATGGCCTGAAAAAGAGAAAATTATCCAGTGAGCGGCAGTTGGACAGACGTAAATGCCTCGTTGATGTCAGAGGAGAATGGGCAAACTGGTTGCTGCGACATTCAGATGGCAGGGTTAGAATTTGGCGTAAATAATGTGAAAGCATGGATCCATCCTGCCTTGTATCAATGGTCCAGGCTGGTGGTGGTGTCATGGTGTGGTGGATCCATCCTGCCTTGTATCAATGGTTCAGGCTGGTGGTGGTGGTGTGTCATGGTGTGGTGGATCCATCCTGCCTTGTATCAATGGTTCAGGCTGGTGGTGGTGTCATGGTGTGGGGGATCCATCCTGCCTTGTATCAATGGTTCAGTCTGGTGGTGGTGGTGTCATGGTGTGGTGGATCCATCCTGCCTTGTATCAATGGTTCTGGCTGGTGATGGTGGTGTCATGGTGTGGTGGATCCACCCTGCCTTGTATCAATGGTTCAGGCTGGTGGTGGTGGTGTCATGGTGTGGTGGATCCATCCTGCCTTCTATCAATCGTTAAGGCTGGTGGTGTCATGGTGTGGTGGATCCATCCTGCCTTGTATCAATGGTTCAGGCTGGTGGTGGTGGTGTCATGGTGTGGTGGATCCATCCTGCCTTGTATCAATGGTTCAGGCTGGTGGTGGTGGTGTCATGGTGTGGTGGATCCATCCTGCCTTGTATCAATGGTTCCGGCTGGTGATGGTGGTGTCATGGTGTGGTGGATCCATCCTGCCTTGTATCAATGGTTCTGGCTGGTGGTGGTGTCATGGTGTGGGGGATCCATCCTGCCTTGTATCAATGGTTCCGGCTGGTGATGGTGGTGTCATGGTGTGGTGGATCCATCCTGCCTTGTATCAATGGTTCAGGCTGGTGGTGGTGGTGTCATGGTG